ATTAATGATAATAATAGCAATAATATTACTAATTGTGGTAGTAATGCTTCGCAACAAGCACACAAATCACATCCAGATGCATATCATGCAAGTAGAATATTAGATGGTGAGATCGCTAAATCAAAAAGCTTGAAAATTTATACAAGTAATGATAGTTCGTTAAATGATCTTGATTTTAATTCTTTTCTCTAAAATGTTAACAAAGGTGAATAAAAATTTCATTATTAATTAATTGTAAATTACTATCCATTAATTATTACTAACAATTAATTAAACTTTAGTAAAGCAATGAATGACCAATTCATCTCCACCATAAATTTATTACCTTCTTTTTAATTTATCTTTTTATTTATCTTTTTATTTTATTCTTGTAATAAATAATATTTCCTATAATAAACTTTTTACAATTTTTTGATTCTCGTTAAATGGTGATATCATTTTGGTTAATTAACAATTATGGTCCAACTTTTGGGCTATCTTGCCAATTAATTAGTTTACGAATTTACATTGGTTTTCAATTACGAATCTGTGAGCACACTTAATGGTACCAGACAACTGTAATTAACAAAGATGGCCCCTTTGCAATGCTATAAAGTTCCTTTATTCACTTTATTTCAGCCGTTTACCTTGCAAACTTGTTTTGGTTTACTTGCAAAACAACTCAAGTAGCTTGTTTAACAGCTTTACATTCATTGACACCCACCAATTAACCAACAACGTTATTCCTAGCCTTGCTTACTCACTAAAGCAAATAAACGTTTATCAAAACGCTTTAAACAGAGAAAATAAAGACAATGTTTTTATTTTTATTTTTATTGACGATTAATTTTATTTGATAAAATAATGATTCTATCACAGAGTTAGCTATTATTTTCCTTTGCGAGGACCAGAAGTTATGCTTTTTCAAGAAAAGACCACAAGTTATCCTTGATGAAATAGCGACAAGGATAAAGATAAATATGGGATTATTATTGCAAAGTAACTTAATCAATCATTTTATATAATTTTTTGCACAGTATTTGATAATTAGTTTGACCCTGGAACATAAAGTACCGAATCCCTAATCAATGATTTATCTACCCCGATCATGTGTCACGTTATAAATGAGTGTGTGGGAACTGAATTTGTATTCAGCAAAAGAAAAACTTGGCTCCTCGGAAACAACTGATGAAATAAAAAGGAGCTTGGAATATATATTTACAAGCTTTTTTTTGTGGGCTTTTACAACTTTTGGGTAAACAACATTATGTTGCGCCTGTTGAAAGAGGCATCTCAACAATGCGATTATCATATTTATTGCTTTCTATTTGTTATCGTTATTAATGTTAATATTAACAATACAGTAAACCCTCATTTCAATTGAATTCATTAACTTCACGTTATAACATAAAATTCGTTGAAACGAGACTAGCAAACAGGAATTATATGATATAAAAAAATTAGGAACCCGTTTGACTTGATATTTGTTCGGAGCCTTAAGTCTATACCTTCGACCACAGCCCATTCATTTACGTATATGAATCTGGGTGATCATCTGGATATCTTGCTAGTAAATGGCAATTATTACAAATTAGACAAATTCTCGTAACAGAAATCATAGAAAGTCGATACAAATATTGGAAACCTGACCAAAATGGATAAATGGATGTTTTCCTCTGAAGATTGTAAATTCCGTAGACTTAAATTTTTTTTTGTTTGCTTCCAATTCAACCTTTAAAAGAGACTTTTTTCAGCAGATTAATAAACAGATTAGGAAACAAAAATCAATATATGAAAAGGATATTTTTCTTGAAATTGCTATTGTTCATCGATCAGAAAACCTGTATTGGCAAAAGAACCTTCTACTATTGGAATTATAATATACCTCTTTCTCGAAAACCCATCTTAGCTGGACGTATTTATTTTGAAATCACATGATAAAGAATGGTATTATATCAAGGGTACAAGCTTATGCATGCAGCCCAAATTTTTATCAAAATTAATTCACTGTTAAATTGAGTCCGAATAATTTCGGATATAATTCGGCTGCTATTAAATTATTATTATATGAAAAACCAATTTCGGATCGGCAATGATCATTTTGGTTAATGCCTGATTAGCACTTACCATAACTTATTTGATGTTTTAGGCACCCCTTTTTTCTCATCGCCAAGTATGAATATAGCATACAATATAAATGCTGATCGCACACATTTTGCCATGCCAAAATTTGTGAAAGTTAAAGCGCGAATTGCGACCCTGAAGATTCATTCAATCAAACATACATCACGAGGGAGAGGCATTAAACATATTAATATGGTGGGGGTTTTTTTTAAAGCAATATTTAAGGGGGGATTTTTTTAAATATGTATATTTATTGTATTTATTTTAATTAATTCAAAAAATTTTTTATTTTAAAAAAAATTTTTGATGTGTTGATAATCATAATAATTATTATATGGAAGGTTTCTAGCAAAATCCGAACTGGAGACCCCCTGACTGAAATTGAGATATTAATTTACAACGTGAGGATTATAATCGGAGAGAATGTTATTATATATTAATATACCATATTTGCTTAATAAAAAATGAGTGAGATACAAGGCTTAAGATATTTTCCATTATAATTAAAAGCATATGTGTAACAAATTTTTCAGGGGTTGATTTCTCAAAATAATTTTATAATCCGCGTGGATGAGTGAATATGTATATAATAATGATGAATGAATGAAAAATTGATATTATATTATATTGATTTATTTTCTAAACATAATAAAATTTCGTGTAATTCGTGTTAATTCATGAATTTTCTCAAACATTTTTTTGATCAATTTTAATATTAAACACACAACAATAAAGTACAAATACATCACTTTACTCATTTTATTGCATTAATATTTATTTGGTCATTTCCTTATTACAAGAAATTTCGATGTCTTTTCTCAGAATGAATGAACAAATATATATATTATAATTCCTATTATATAATAACAATAAATAGGAGATATAAAGTTTAATGACCCTGATGGCCGACCAGACGGATTATAAAAATAAACCAGTACAAAATCTTGTTTAATACTTGGTCACGTGATAAATGAAGGGTAGTTTTCTGTCAAACACATCAATCAAATTTAATTAACGTGTGGATAAGTGAAAAAGAATGAATTGATTGTTGTACCTTTGGATTATTAATATATTAACTAATATTAAAGATTTTCTATTTTTTACAAAGTGTCCTCTCCTTATAACAATATTTTTTTTTGTTTACAAAATATGCGATGCTATTAATTAATCGAATAACGAATCAGTTATCATCTTTATTTGAAAAAGTAAAAATAAACAAAATTTTGAAACTCGACTAATTAGTGTTACGGTAAATTCCTCCTTTTGATGATCGGCAAGCTAGAGTTTAAGTAATACCACCCCTATTTTATTATTATTGTTATTATTATTTATTAATACCCCTTCTTTTCTTACTCCATATTAATATTTATTTATTTTTTTTTGGTACCCGAATATCTTATACAATAAAAAAACTTAAAAAGAGCTTAGAATATATATTTTTTTTTTTTTTTTTCAAAAATCCACAAGTTTTGTGTATGTGTAGTTAGAGAAAGATAATTTATTATTATTATCTTCTTTACATTATTATTACATTCATAAGAAATATTTACATATTTTTGTTTCTTCCTGAAATCAGCGATTGGAAGAAGAAAAAATATTAACAACTTCAGGTAAACTAATTTTCAACATTTTTTATTTTT